TTAACTTAGGGTAGATGTGGGTTAACGTGGTAGAACATGGTTAACTTAGGGTAGCTGTGGGTTAAAGTGGTAGAACATGGCTAACTAGGACATATTTTAAGTTTTACATGAACCTTTAAGCATATATATTGTCAGCCATTTTGTCGTTTATATGGCATTTAGCCATGGCGTATATACCGTCGTGTGTGCTTGTGTGCCAGTACTTGGCAGTACTGGCACACAAGCACTGGTCAGTTATCATGCTATAAATAGCAAAGAAACGAAGTCAGCGAAAGAAAAACGAACTCGTTTGTATAGTCCGGTGGTAGTGACATCAAAAAGTCTGATCTCGAATGGCGCTCTGGAAAGTGTGAAAAGTCTACAAAATTTGCCGTCAACATGCGATAGGGGAGGCCCTGAATGAAATAGAAAAACCCCCTCTTGCTTCTGGTTTGTCGGCTGATAGTGTTCTTAGCTGAACAGAGATTGTGATCAAAATTTCACATTTGCCATTTTTCAGACAATATCTCACCCGCAGACATTATCAGCCGCATGAAGGGGTTTATTTGCTAAATGACTGGAATTCATTGAACAAATCAGAATACTAGAAACGCAATAACCGGAGTTAAAAATTACAGAAATGAAATCTCTACATGTGGCATGATAATTAACTGGGAATGGTCCAATTTTTAAACTTTCAACGCAATTTGTTCTTATCATAACACACGCACATACAAATTCCGATTTTCGGTCTTTCGCTTTTATCTTTGGTTTGATTTTAAAATGTAATTAACTTGGTGCAAGGATTATTTTGAAGAATTGTTTTCTTTTAATTAGAATTTTATCAGGCTAACTTAGAATAAAGCAAATGGAGTTCTGGGCCACAAAAATCTTTGCTGCGACCCAGGTCTCTCGCTTCCCTTCACCAAGTGATTAATAATTATATGACGATGCAATCCGTTTACCGCGGGTAACCATAACAACTAATCAGACTGGAAACATTTGCGATTTCGAGAGAAACGCCTATATCAGCGAGGGAGAAACATGAGCACTTCGTGGATGTCAAAAACTTCATCTGAAGTTCTAAACTTCGTTTTCAAACAAATGACAGGAGAGCATGATGAACAAGCATCAAGCTCGTTGGACGTCCTTTCTAAAGGCAATGTATGGATCAAAGATCTTCCCACGAATAGTGTTGAACCGATTGAGGAATCATTCGGGGCACGAAAGATAACAAGAAACGTAGGTGCCTTTATTTATTTATTCTTTCATTTTTGCACTACTTGAAGACTGTCAGGCAAATTAATAGATAGTTAAACGGACTGATTGACAATGTTTCGCCCAGTTTTTAACGTTGAGGACTTTGTTCTTCTCCATCATTTTTTTTCTCAATTTTGAGAAGAACCAAGCGCGCGCAAATGCCCTTCGACTATGACGCACCAATTGCGTTTCCTTTTGATCAACGTCATTAAAGGAAAACCTTGAAAAGTTTTTCCCATCTATTCCAAATGAACAGAAAAAGGCTGAAAGTTAGTTGGTAATTATTTTGTTATGAAGAGAGTTTAAATATTTTTTTATTCCATCATTATCTTTTTATTCTGCTTTCAAAAGTCCAATTGCCTCAAATCACAGCGGCGGTGGAATTTAAAACCCTTGTTTCATCTTTTTTCATTCCAATTCATAAGCAAAAGAACAAGTGACATTTAATTCGGCTGATTTTCCAACACACCTAATTATCTACATCCTGATCTGTTTCGTTCATCGAAACCCCAAATTAGATTTATCGAGTATTAAGCGCCTTTGCGGAGTTCTTATGGTCGGCGCACTTTAAATGGTCCTGGCTCGATACATGTTCTCAGCGAAAACAAAAATAATCACGAGACGATAAATACTGGGAGTGACTCTGTTAGAGGGCAGAAATCAGTAATTCGTGTGAAGTAAGGCTTTGTGCTCGATGGCTACTTACTTTGGTTTAACATTCAGTCCAAAACAAAATGCGTTTTACATAAACGTCAAAGTTACCCAATTTTCTTATTCAAGGGTAAGAAGGAGAGAGAATTGGAGGAAAAGATGGCAGTCCTTGAACAACAATTCCTAGGTAAGATTTTTTTTTTCAAACTTTGATCCAGGCTGGTAGTCAGTGCGGACCAACGTAAGAGCGAGTGGGCGAAGAAAACCCTGGAAACGGCCGAGTTTGTTCGTCATATTTCTTAGTGCAATCCTCGTCGTTTTTTTTGCAACCCCTTCCCGCCTCCTTACCTTTTCTCTTGTCTCCACTGACTTAGAACTTGTCAAAGGTAATTGCTCTCTGCAAAGAGAAGATACCTTTTTTACAAATTCACAAGGAAAGAAAGTCGGGGGAAGGAGTATAGTTATCAAATATTCGAAAGCTATGTCACATTCCGGCCCAAACGCATCAAGGTATTCGTGAATGATGTACTGGTAATATTTTTATAACTGATCTGTCTAAATAAGATTAAAAATTTAGCCTGGCCGATAAGAGACTTTCAAAGCTGCAACTTCGAAAGTTCGAAGGAGATTATGCAAAGGACGGAGATACAAGAAATGAAAAGAGAAAATCCTTTGAAAGTAAATAAAGGCTTAAAAACCTAGTCTGACCGACTACATCAGTTGGGTGTCTGACAGGTCGCACACGACTGATTGACCTTCTGAGTTACTGTATATAGCTGATTGACAGACACATGGGTTGACTGTCAACCTGATAGACCTTCTCATTGATTAACTGTCCAACTAACGTACGAACAAATAGATGACTGACTGACTGGCTGACTGACTAACTGACTGACTGGCTGAGTGGCTAACTAACTGACCGACTGGCTGAATGACTCACTGACCGGCCGACTGACCCCATAACTGTTCAACGGACTGAATAACTGACTGAATGGCTGACCGGCTAATTAACTGACCGACTGACTGACTGACTGACTGGCTGACTGACTGACTGGCTGACTGACTGACTGGCTGACTAACCGACTAACCGAGTGACTTACTGACTGGCTGACTGACTGACCGACTGACCCACGAACTGACTGGCTGACTGACTGATCGACCGACCAACTGATTGACTGACTGAATGACTGAATGACTGACCGACATACGGTTTGACTGACCAGCCGGAAAGGACCATGCTAATTGACATTGACTCATCCCCGATTGGTATGACATGTGACACGTCACCGCTTAGTAACTTGATTATTGGCTCATTGCTCATAACTGACTATCTAACTTTCTAAAGCTTATTAGAGAAGCTCCATAAATTTGGTTGATATTAGACAATGTAAGACCATACTCTAAGATTAACAACGATTCGATTATCCACCACTGAGCTTAGCTTTTAAAATTACTTTAGAGAGGGAGAAAGAACTCCTAAAAAAGAACTCTGTCTTGGAAAATCAGCTGAAAGAATCAAGTGAAAAAATGAATGATCTACGCATCCAGCAAGGAAAGGAAAACGAGTCTCTCCAGACTGAAATGAAAGACTTGAGGGAGACTCTGTCAATCAGAGAAAAGTGTCATACAAAACAAAAAGATATTTTCAAAAAGATGGCAGCTAATTCCCAGAGTGAACTGGACAAAGCTCGGGCGGTCATTTCTAATCTCTCTGAAGGGATGAAGGGTTGTGAAGGTAAGTCTAATGAACAAAGTCAATTTTGTAGATTACCGCAGATTAGCAAGAAAAACGTTACAAAGGATCAAACAATAACCCGTAAACACAATGAGAATACTCTGAAAAAAAATCACATGGTTGAAACTGAAGTCAGCCGTTCGTATATATTATGCAATTATTTACGTTCAATGTACGATACATGACAAAATGGCTGGGATAGTCGGTTCCATCCCTCCCCGATCTTCCCACCCACAATTACGAGCCAACTGATTCCTCAATCGGCTCTAAATTGTTTGTTTGTCGTTGACTCACACGCTGGCTTTAAAAAGGACATCCAATGAACTGAATGCTCGTTCACTTCTTGTACAAGCACGTTACAGGCGAAGAAGACAACTTGTCCTCTT